TCTTGTTGAATGCCTCCTCAATCATGATTTCTACCCTTTCTCTCATTCCTTTTATTCAAGTGAAACCCTCCTTTCGAGCACTATCTTCGAACGAAGGCGACAATGTCGCCAATTTTCCCTTAGGATGGTCTCCTCCGGTCCGGATGAGTCGGAGGAGCTCCTCACGGCAAGTTACCGGGTCCTCTAAGTCTACCATGTACGTCCCGTCATGCAGATGCATCCCTATCATTTCGACACTGACGCACCAGGGTCTCCCGAGCATTATGTCGTGGTCCATCTCATCTAATACGGTCATCCATTGAAACGACGAGATTGACTGCTGGATGCCTGCCTTGACTGCACATTTGGTGACGTATCCTAAAAACGGGATCTCGCCACCGGACCCTCGGATGCTCCTCATTACTTCCTTGTTAACCACACAGTCGGTAACTGTTGCAAAATCTCTCCTTATAAGTGTGATTTCCGCACCTCCATCTACTAGAACATCTGTGTAATGAGTCCCGATCTGCAGCTTTTGCTTTCCTACGGGCAGCACATGGAAACTAAGCTTCGTCCCGAGTGGAGCTTTCATGACTTCCCCTCCTTCACGGTCCGGTAAGCTCAAGTGGATGTCCGAGAAAACCTTTTCTAGATCCTCCAAATCTCCAGGAATCTTTTGAAGGTTAGCGACTTCTTGCAGAGTTTCCTCCTCCTTTTCCTATTCCCGAGATTCCGGATTTTCGTCTACCTCCACTCGTCGGCGAGTCAATAGTTGTCTAAGCCCTTTGAGCAGTATGGGGCTTGCTTGCAACATGGTCTGAAAGGATACTGATACCATGGTTCCCAATAACTTGCTAAGAGTGTCGTCGATCTTCGACATGGTTAGGATCGAGATTTTTTACCTGAACTTTTTTTTTCCAGCGGTGACCTTGTGCGTAGGCTCCTCTTCCTTAAGCTTTCCATAACTATTCTCCGGTTTCCCGGTTTAAGGCTCAGCTTGGGTCTCGGTGCCTCTAACAACCTACTCCATTATTGTACTACAGATAACTTTTCTCCCTGCCGTTGCTAGCCGAGTAGTCGCGTTCATCCTATCACGCCCGTCACTTTCTAGGATAAAGTTAACATGTGGTCCGCGCCCTCGGGGCTGATCCCAGACGATTTCGGCTACTGGTTCGGCTTCTACCGCTGCTATGTCTAGGCTGTTGAGAACAACAACGGCACTCCACATTCTCCCAACTTGAAAACCATGAATAATGTAACTTGAGGTTTATATCTCATAGTACAACCACATTGTATCGAGTACGAGTATAACCCGCACACAGACCTTTTCCTCGTATGCCCAGTCTGATCGGAGCGTCGCTCCGTGCTCCTATTTTATACTACGAAAATTGGCCTCGAGTACTGTTCCTTTCGGAACAGGTACCGGACCAGTTCCAAAAACCATAATAATATTAAAAAAAAAAAAAAAAAAAAAAAAAAAAATTCCAAAAGCCAAAAAGACAAATGAACAGCTGGAGAACTCAAAAATGTGTAGACGTCATGCCTACGCGCTTCAAGTTGGTCTGAGATGCTCAGAGTTCAACGTAGTACGATATCCTACTGAGATTACTTGCGCACCTCTGGTTCAGCCGAATACGCCAAGAGACTTACAGGTACAGGCCGTACCTGACCCCGATTTTAGTCGGATTCAAAGTAAGATAACTTGTCGATGCACCTCTGGCTCAGTCGAATACGCCAAGAGATTCAAATACAGGCCGTACCTGGCCCCGATTTTTGTCGGATTAATTAGTGTCTCACCACGTTCTTGCAGACTTCAAAGTTTCCTGCAGAGATTACTTGCGCACCTCCGGCTCGACCGGATACACCGAGAAGCTTCCGGGCACAGTCCGATCCTGGTCCTAATTATAGTCGGATTCACTGGTGTATCCCACGTTCCTGTGAATTTCAAATGTTTCGAAAAAAATTCAGAGGAAACCCTGCAACACGGGTCGAACCCCTGAGTCGTCGTAGCCTGCTTGCCACCTTGTCTTATGCCAGCGTGTCTCTTCGGTCGACGAAGAGTTATGTCCACCCGTTATAGCATTCGACGATTTTCTCACTCATTATGGGCCATATCCCTCCTAACTTCGCGACAACTTTCCTCGAAGTTGCAAGAAACACTTTGGTCGGAAAATCCCCCCCTTTTAATTCCCTGTGCAATGTCACCAACCCAAGAGGTAGCAGAGCTTCATCACTTGTATTGGCGTTAATGCGAAAAATGATCCCGATAATATTAGCCACCTTCTGTTCCATTGGCCCCAAAGACAAGAAGTGCCTAGTTACCATATATTTTGGCCTCCTAGGGTCCTCCCAAATACTATCCATGTTCTTGCATTTATGCATGGATACAACTACAGTCGGATCGTTCACTGAAAAAAAATCAATCTCCAAAAATTCCACAATATTAGTTCCACTGTTGGTCCTCTCGAGCCTCAATTCCGGGTAGTAGCAAGATACGATCTTTATCCATGGTCTGGATAATCCGTGTGTCGTCCCCATGATGGTACATTCTAAACCATAGGAGATCATCTACATACCTTCTACCAAAAAGGGAACGCGAATCACGTCCCAGGCTCCTCAAAAACGTTTCCTCGGCGTACATACATACAAGGCACGCAAGAGGAGGGCTAGCCTGACCCCCCATTGGAATGCTTTTGTTTTGTTTTAGTATCTCACCTGTTGATTTAAAATATACATTATCGAGAGCGAAATCCACCAATTTTTTTAGATCCGACAACCGTACCGATTTCCATCCTCCTTCTCCAACTGATTTTTCCAGCACAACTCATTTTCCTCTTATCTTTGCACGGGCCCAATATCTGCCTTTGCTTCTTATCTCACTGAAGATCCAAGACACAGCGTCTCGGACCTCTGCATGTGGGATTTTGGAGAACATTTTCTTTATATCATAAGTTTTTATCATAACTTCCACATTTTCGTTGATTATCCTGTTATTTAGTGCTCCCAAACTGGTCTTTAGATCACCTCCGGCCATGAGGTTGAAATGTTCCCCCGTTTTCTTCCGAAAGAGTAGATTGAGAACTAGGACCAAAACTCTACACCCATACCTTATTGGACTGAGGTATGACGGACAAATGGGCCTCTTCTTTTCTATGTCCTTGTCTGTACTCATTATGAACGAGTTCTACAGTTTGCCTTTTCCATCCCATTTCACGATCCTTTCAAGTTTCAACTCTTTGTACTGTTTCCACATACTCCTGAGTACATCGGTTTCGGATTTTTCAATTTTTTCAAAATTGGTGTTATCGTTGAAGGTTCTTTTCATTCCAGCATGATATGAAACCACGCATTCAACCAGTGTAGCACCCGGATTCCTATCTAGTGGTGATAGTACGAGACCATCCAGGACCGCTTTTACTCCTTTGACATACTCGCAGAGGACCGTTCCAACAGGTTTTGCAGGTCCGGCCCTCCTAAGTTTCTGAGGGGAAACCCGAAAAACGTCCTTGAGTCCATCCTTCTCTAAAACTTTGAGTGTTGTTTGACAGTTGCGATTGATCTCTTCGATGTACATCATTCTCCCAGGGTATGGTACGTTTCGTGAGTTATGCAAAAATGAATGGATCTCAGGAATCTCGTTGAGTCTCACTTGAACATTCCCGTTCGGTTTGGGCAGTTGAAACCTCTCACATACGCAAACCCGTGAATTGTCGGTTGCGCATGCCGTGTGGTTATGTTGAAGATCAACTACGGACTAGGTCTTTGTCTAGACCGTCCAAAGCTTCTTCCGTACAAGGTTTGACTGCTCTTGAGATGCAATCCTACTTCCGATCCATTCGCACACCTCCTTTCTGACCGTGCTTTTGTTAACACATGGGCGAAAAGGAATCTTAATCACAATCCATAGCCTTGGATTATATCCAAGTTTTTTCATTAACTCAATCGAAATCAAACGACGAATAATCTGGCGTCCTCTTGTATTATTAATACATTTCAATCCTCGCAGCATCTTAATGAGATCATCCGGATCTTTCTCGTAAAAAACACTTTTCCATTTCCACGGTGCTCTTAGGAGGGAGAACAACTCTGCTTTCCTCCTATCTGCCTCAGTTTCGGTCCGAATCAGGCAAGTTAGTTCAAACGTCCCTCCATCCTCAAAAACAGACTTCAAATCCCTCAGCAACATGCACGATCCCTCGAATTTGAACTTAGATTCCCCGTACGCCAATCTGATCACTCGCGAAGGATTGACCCGTCTGGATCCTCCAGAGCAGTTGATCGATCCAGGCCTTGCTATACCCTTCAATGATTTTAGTATATCAAGCAAATTAGTGGTCCGACGAAAATTCACACACGCAAAGGTGAGTGGTTCCCATTTCTTACCACCCTTTTTATTCTTTGACTTCACCCTTGCTCTTCTTGGTCTACTCCTTGCTTTATTCGTTCTGCAATTAAGACATGGTTTTTCATCGTTAATAATTTTAGTTTCTATATTTCCCGCTTTTATCGCAGAAAAATAACGGAATAGCCGTATATTTCCAAAAACCGAATTTACTCAACCATTTGTGAACTTTGAAGATTGGGTCCAATGCGGAGGCACGCGTGTGTTCTCGCCATCTACATACCAGTGTCCTACATGTGTGCCCAATATATGTCTTCTTGCAGAACGGCCACGCTAGCAGATACACACACGAGGTGCATTGCTTTCGTTTTACTAGAACATTCAGATCGATGCGCGTTAGGTACTTCAAAACATTAGCGCCCCATGTTACGTGTCCGAGGACAAATGAGAGGATAGTTCCCAGTCTAAACGCTCCTTCTAAGTCATCACTTAACCCTTCTTGCTCGTTCTCGATAGCGTTGCTAATCCGGATCAGAAGACGCCCGAGGCTTCTCTGGGAAATCTAATTCCCAGGAACACCTCCATCACCGTCTTCTTCTTCAGAATCTGCCTCGCCACCTTCTTCTTCGACTTCCGTTTCATGCTCGTCTTCTCCATTTACGAGTCTCGTGAACTCGTCAGTGTCTTGTTTCGCGAGCTCCCATGTGCTCTTGTCTTTCCGTTCCTATTTCACTCCCCTCGCCAGACAGAGGCTCTTGATCTTCTTCCCGTTCATCTCCATATAGTGATCGAGCCGTTGTCTCATGTATTCAACGATCCCGACCTCCGTCTTATCGCTCTTCGTGCAGCTATCCCGGTTCAACTTCAGTTTGTCCTTCTCTTCATCTTCGAATTCGTCGTTGCTGTCCTCCTCCTTATCCTCGTTCGCGCTGGTCTTCTTGTTCTCCACGATCTCCATAGTAGGGCCGCTTTGCCCCCCTTGTACTTTTGCAACTATCATTGATAGCAGTTTCATAACGTCTTCCAAATTCACATTGGGCTTGTTCTCCGGAACGCCCTCGTGGACTCCCGTCTTCTTATCTTCCTCGTCTGAGGACACTTCGATCATAGACCTTGATCGCGATTTTTGTCGGTCTTGTGCTGGCGAATTCAATCCCATTACTCTCTTCCTCTTCTCAATGCTTCCTTCTGCACTTGTTACGCATTTCGATTCCAATTGTTCAACCTTCTTGGCTATCTTTGCGCGCTCGGCTTCCGCTGCTTTGGACATCTTGTCGACTGAATCGAGCTTCACGGATATCTTCTTCATATAACTTTCGAAGTTGCTTGTAAGCCAAGCTTTCAAGCTTTGCTCGCCGTCCTCCGATTTCGTGGCAACCTTCCCCTTCCCTTTCTTCGCCCCCTGTTTACTACTCTCGCTTGAACCGTCCACACTTCGTCGCGACTCCTCCATATCATTCGTCTTCCGTTTCTCAATGAGTTCAAGGTGCTCTCTTGTAAACCAGGCCCTGTTCCCAGGCGTTGGGAATGGTTTCGCAGCAGGTGTCGACTGCTATTGGTCTCCTTGCTGATGTTGGTCGTAGTTTCAGTTCTGCGCAGCTAGCGGTGGAGGTGGCGGTGGAGCAGGTAGTGTCCCAGGATGCCATCCGTAGTATGGGTATCCAGGTGGGAGAACCACTGGTTGCACTGTTGGTGAAGGCTGGTTCTGTTGCGTTGTCACTGGAAGATTCGCCGGCTGTGTCGTCGCCTGATAATCCATCCAGTATTGACGATCGCATGACCACCTTCCTCTGCCTCTACCGCGTCCCTTTCCTCTCCCTTGTGCGTACATGCAGATTGGTCACCTGTAAACACACGACAAGAGAGCCGAAAAGAAGAAAAAAAAAAAATGAATTATCCACTTAACCTTGATCCCAGGTGATAGAGGTACATCTTGGATATGTCGTACACTTAAAATGTAGGTAAGAGATACAAGAGCTACAAGGGATAATATGAGCATGTTTAAGAGAATATTAGAGAAGTATGAGAAAGATTATGCTCGTGCAGCGTTAGTTCGAAGAGCCCATCCTCGATAGCTTCCTTAGATGCCCGTAACGCGATTGTGCGATGGACTTCAGTTGTACCCAAGCTCACGAAATCGCGAGACACGGCACCTGATAAGCGCTCTCATGAATAATCCTGAGGTCGTTCATCTGGCTTAACAATAGACTTGAAAACCATGAACAATGTAGCTTGAGGTTTGCATCTCTCAGTACAACCACGTTGTATCGAGTAGGGTATAACCCGCACACAGGCCTTCTCCTCGTATGCTCAGTCTGATCGGAGCGTCGCTCCGTGCTCCTATTTTATACTACGAAAACTGGCCTCGAGTACTGTTCCTTTTGGGATAGGCGGACTAGTTCCAAAAACCATAATAATATTTAAGAGAAAAAAGAAAAGAAAAAAAAGATTTTTTTTTTTTTTTACGCAAGCCAAAAAGACAAATGAACAGTTGGAGAACTCATAAACGTGTAAACGTCATGCCTGCTCGCTTGGTCTGAGATCCGCAGAGTTCAACGTAGTACGATATCCTGCTAAGATTATTTGCGCACCTCTGGTTCAGCCGAATACGCCAAGAGACTTACAGGTATAGGCCGTACCTGGCCCCGATTTTAGTCGGATTCCAAGTATGATAACCTGCTGATGCACCTCTGCCTCGACCGAATACGCCGAGAGATTCAAATACAGGTCGTACCTGGCCCCGATTTTGGTCGGATTAATTGGTGTCTCACCACGTTCTCGCAGACTTCAAAGTTTCCTGCGGAGATTACTTGCCCACCTCCGGCTCGGCCGTATACATCGAGAAGCTTCTAGGCACGGGCCGTTCCTGGTCCCAATTATAGTCGGATTCACTGGTGTATCCCACGTTCCTGTGAATTTCAAATGTTTCGAAAAAAATTCAGAGGAGTCACTGCAACACGGGTCGAACCCCTGAGTCGTCGTAGCCTGCTTTCCACTTTGTCTTATGCCAGCGTGTCTCTTCGGTCGACGAAGAGTTATGTCCACCCGTTATAGCATTCGACGATTTTCTCACTCATTGTGGGCCATATCCCTCCTAACTTCGCGGTGACTTTCCTCAAAGCTGCAAGAAACACTTTAGTCGGTAAATCCCCCCCTTATAATTTCCTAGGCAATGTCACCAACCCAAGAGGTAGTAGAGCTTCATCACTTGTATTGGCGTTAATGCGAAAAATGGTCCTGATAATATTAGCCACCTTCTGTTTCATTGGCCCAAAAGATAAGAAGTGCCTAGTTACCATATATTTTGGCCTCCTTGGGTCCTCCCAGATACTATCCATGTTCGTAAATTTATGCATGGATACAACTAAAGTTGGATCGTTCACTGAAAAAAATTTAGTCTCCAAAAATTCCACAATATTAGTTTCAGTGTCCGTCCTCTCGAACCTCAATTCCGGGTGATAGCAAGATACGATCTTATCCATGGTTTGGACAATCCATGTGTTGTCCCCATGGTGGTACAGTCCAATCCGTAGGAGATCATCTACATACCTTCTACCAAAGAGGGAACGCGAATCACGTCCTTGACACCTCAAAAACTTTTCCTCGGCGTACATACATACAAGGCACGCCAGAGGAGGGCTAGCCTGACCCGCCATCAGAATGTTTTTGTTTTGTTTTAGTATCTCACCTGTTGATTTAAAATATACATTATCGAGAGTGAAATCCACAAATTTTTTGAGATCCGACAACCGTACCGCTTTCCATCCTCCTTCTCCAGCTGATTTTTCCAGCATAACTTTTTTTCCTCTTATCTTTGCACGGGCCCAATATCTGCCTTTGCTCCTTATCTCACTGAAGATCCAAGACACAGCGTCTCGGACCTCTGCGTGTGGGATTATGGAGAGCATTTCCTTTATATCATAAGTTCTTATCAAAACTTCCACATTTTCGTTGTTAATCCTGTTATTTAGTGCTCCTTAACTGGTCTTTAGATCACCTCCGGCCATGAGGTTGAAATGTCCCCTCTTTTTCTTCGGAAAGAGTAGATTGAGAACTTGAAACAGAACTCTACACCCAAACCTTATTGGACTTAGGTATGACGGGCAAATGGGCCTCTTCTTTTCTAGGTCCTTGTCTTTACTAATTATGAACCAATTCTACAGTTTGTCTTTTCCATCCCATTTCACGATCCTTTCAAGTTTCAACTCTTTGTACTGTTTCCGCATACTTTTGAGGACATCGGTTTTCGGTTTTTCAATTCTTTTGAAATCTCTGTTATCGTTGAAGGTTTTTTTCATTCCAGCATGATATGAAACCAGGTATTCAACCAGTGTAGCACTCGGATTCCTATCTAGTAGTGATAGTACGAGACCATCCAGGGCCGCTTTTACTCGTTTGACATACTCACAGAGGACCGTTCCAATAGGTTTTGCAGGTCCGGCTCTCCCAAGTTTCAGAGGAGAAACCCGAAAAACGTCCTTGACTCCAACTTTCTCTAGAAATGTGAGTGTTGTTTGACAGTTGTGATTGATCTCTTCGATGTACGTCATTCTTCCAGGGTATGGTACGTTTCGTGAGCTATGCAAAAATGAATGGATCTCAGGAATCTCGTTGAGTCTCACCTGAATATGTCCGTTCGGTTTGGGCAGTTGAAACCTCTGACATACGCAAACTGGTGAATCGTCGATTGCGCATGCTTTGTGGTTATGTAGAAGATCAGCTACGGACTTGGTCTTTGTACAGACCGTCCTAAGCTTCTTCCGTACAATGTTAGACTGCTCTTGAGATGCAGTTCTACTTCCGATGCATTCACGCACTTCCTTTCTGACCGTGCTTTTGTTAACACATGGGCTAAAAGGAATCTTAATCACAATCCGTAGCCTTGGGTTATATCCAAGTTTTTTCATTAACTCAGTCGAAATCAAACCACGAACAATCTGGAGTCCTCTTGTATTATTAATACATTTCAATCATTGCAGCATCTCAATGAGATCATTCGGATCTTTCAGGTAAAAAACACTTCTCTTTTTCCACGGTTCTCTTAGGAGGGAGAACAACTCTTCTTTCCTCCTATCTGCCTCAGTTTCGGTCTGAATCAGGCAAGTTAGTTCAAACGTCCCTCGATCCTCAAAAACAGACTTCATATCCCTCAGCAACATGCACGATCCCTCGAATTTGAACTTAGATTCCCCGTAGGCCAATCTGATCACTCGCCAAGGAGTGACCCATCTGGATCCTCCAGAGCAGTTGATCGATCCAGGTTTTGCTATACTCTTCAATGATTTTAGTATATCAAGCAAATTAGTGGTCCGACGAAAATTCACACACGCAAAGGTGAGTGGTTCCCATTTCTTTCCACCCTTTTTACTATTTGACTTCACTCTTGCTCTTCTTGGTCTAGTCCTTGGTTTATTCTTTCTGCAATCAAGACATGGTTTTTCATGGTTAATAGTTTTAGTATCTATATTTCCCGTTTTTATCGAAGAAAAATAACGGAATAGTCGTATATTTCCAAAAACCGAATTTACTCAACCATTTGTGAACTTTGACGATCGGGTCTACTGCAGAGGCACGCGTATGTTCTCGCCATCTACATGCCAGTGTCCTACATGTCTGCCCGATATATGTCTTCTTGCAGAACGACGAGGCTAGCATATACACACACGAGGGGCATTGCTTTGGTTCTACTAGAACATTCGGATTGATACGCGTTAGGTACTTCAAAAAAGTGGCACCCCATGTTACGTGTCCGAGGACAAATGAGAGGATAGTTCCCAGTCTAAACGCTCCTTCTAAGTGATCCCTTAACCCTTCTTGTTCGTTCCCGATAGCGTTGCTCATCCGGATCAGAAGACGCCTGAGGCTTCTCTGGGAACTCTAATTTCCATTAACACCTCCATCAGAATCTGCCTCGCCACCTTCTTCTTCGACTTCTGTTTCATGCTCGTCTCATTCATTTACAAGTCAGGTGAACTCGTTAGTGTCTTGTTTCACGAGCTCTCAAGCGATGTTGTCTTTCCGTTCCCATTTCACCCCCCTCGCCAGGCAGAGGCTCTTGATCTTCTTCCTGTTCACCTCCATATAGTGATCGAGCCTTTGTCTCATGTATTCAACGATCTCGACCTCCGTCTTATCGCTCTTCGTGCAGCTACCCCGGTTCAACTTCAGTTTGTCCTTCTCTTCATCTTCGGATTCGTTGTTGCCATCCTCCTTTCTATCCACCTTCACGCTGGTCTTCTTGTTCTCCACGATCTCCATAGCAGGGCCGCTTTGCCCCCCTTGTACTTTCCCAACTATCATTGATAGTAGTTTCATAACGTCTTCCAAATTCATATTGGGCTTGTTCTCCGGAACACCCTCGTGGACTCCCGTCTTCTTATCCTCCTCGTCTGAGGACACTTCAATCTGAGGTTCGCGAATCTTGATTCCACCGCTCCTAGACCTTGATCTCGATTTTTGTCGGTCTTGTGCTGGCGAATTCAATCCCATTACTCTCTTTCTCTTCTCAATGCTCCCTTCTTCGCTCGTTACGCCTTTCGATTCCAATTCTTCAACCTTCTTGGCTATCTTCGCACGCTCGGCTTCCGCTGCTTTAGACATCTTCTCGACTGAATCGAGTTTCTCTGATATCTTCTTCAAAGAAGTTCCGAAGTTGTTTGTAAGCCAAGGTTTCAAGCTTTGCTTGTTGTCTTCCGATTTCGTGGCAACCTTCCCCTTCCCTTTCTTCGCTCCCTGTTTACTACTCTCGCTTAAGTCGGTCACACTTCGTCGCTCCTCCTCCATATCCTTCGTCTTCCATTTCCCAATGAGCTTAAGGCGCTCTCTTGTAAACCAGGCCCTGTTCCCAGGGGCTGGGAATGGGTTCGCAGCAGGTGTCTTCTGCTGTTGGTATCCTTGTTGATGTTGGTCGTAGTTCCAGTTCTGCGCAGCTAGCGGTGGAGGTGGCGGTGAAGGTGGCGGTGGAGCAGGGAGTGTCCCAGGATGCCATCCGTAGTATGGGTATCCAGGTGGGAGAACCACTGGCTGCACTGCTGGTGAAGGCTGGTTCTGTTGCGTTGTCACTGGAAGATTCGCCCATTGTGTCGTCGCCTGATAATCCATCCAGTATCGACGATCGCTTGACCACCTTCCTCTGCCTCTACCGCGTCCCCTTCCTCTCCCTTGTGCGTACATGCAGATTGGTCACCTGTACACACACGACAAAAGAGCCGAAAAGAAGAGAAAAAGAAATATAGATTCTCCACACAACCTCGATACAAGGTGAAAGAGGTACACCTTGGATATGCCGTACACTTAAAATGTAGGCAAGAAAGACTGTTCCTTTCGGGACAAGTAACGGACCAGTTTCAAAAACTATAATAATATTTAAAAAAAAAAAAAAAAAAAAAAAAAAAAAAAATTTTTAAAAAAAAAAAAAAAAAAAAAAAAAAAAAAACTTTTACGCAAGCCAAAAAGTCAAATGAACAGCTGAAGAACTCATAAACATGTAGACGTCATGCCTGCTCACTTGGTTTGAGATCCGCAGAGTTCAATGCAGTACAATATTCTGCTGAGATTACTTTCCCACCTGTGGTTCAACCGAATACGCCAAGAGACTTACAGGTACAGGCCGTACCTGGCCCCGATTTTGGTCTGATTCCAAGTATGATAACCTGTTGATGCACCTCTGGCTCGACCGAATATGCCGAGAGATTCAAATATAGGTTGTGCCTGGCCCCAATTTTGGTCGGATTAATTGGTGTCTCACCACGTTCTTGCAGACTTCAAAGTTTCCTACAGAGATTACTTGCGCACCTCCGGCTCGGCCGGATACACTGAGAAGTTTTCGGGCACGGGCCGTTCCTGGTCCCAATTATTGACCACTCCTGCTGGGAGCACGACTTATTGGGGAGGGAGGGAGGGTCGGGGTACTTGTGCCTGCATAACCATCAGTGCGTTCTCCACCCTTTCTATCTTATTGTTGACTTCGTGCACGCATTCATATAGGTTTTCGATCCCAGTTTCCACCTTATCCCCTGTCTAACCGGTCAGATCTACGACTTCTCCTTCCTTAAGCAAGGCTAATGACTCGGTTACTACCGTTTTCTCTGCAAGGTCCGTTACCGTACTGAAATCAACATCCCTCGTATTCATGAATTTGCTCGTCTACTGGTATGCTGACAAAATCTTGTCCTTATCAAACTCAGAGAACTACATGAGAAAATACTTGTTCATTATTCAGTCCGTTACCCTAGGGATCCTTAGCGCCACCAGGATGAATTCTCTCAGGAAGTCATTGTATGTGGCGAAGTTCCTCCTTTTTACTGCCGCTAATCCGGTTTTTGTTGCCATCTTTTCTGCTGCCAGATACTTCCTCATCATCACATCCCGGGTCTCTTTCCAGGACCTGCTCGCGGCAACGATAGGCATTATGTCTCGTCCTAGGCTCAGCGACACATGCTGTCCTAGGTGATCCATCTTTTCCTCTTCACTTCATTTCAGTAACGCAGCCAGGTTCTCGTAATCTATTAGCAAATCAGTGATGTTTGCCCTGTCAAACATCAATTGTTTCTTAGCGTCCGCGAGGTATCCTTGGTTTTTGTTTAGTGCTCATGTAAGGGACGACACCATTTTCATGAGGCCACCCTCCGAGCTGCTGGTCTCGCCTGTCGTACTAGTTTCCTGTCCCTCCTTGCCGGCCCTTTGTCCTTCTCTGGTTTTTGCAGTCCCCTCCGGATCAAACCATCCCAATACCCTTTCCCTAAGGCTCTAGAGTCCCTCGCACCCCCGCATAACTATCGGCGTGGTCGGCAGATGGCTGACCCTGTTGTCGATAGCTGACGGATTTGTAGTTTTTTTAGCTTCTATTCCAGGGGAGTTCTCCCTCTCTTTTTATCTCTTGCTTGGTGTTCCTCCGCGATCATTATCCTTACCCCCCTGCCCGATTTCGCCTCGGTTGGCCTTCCGTTCGTCATGCGGTCCTTCCTTTTCCTTCGGAAGGTCTTCCTCGTTTCCAATCGTCATCTCTTCGATCAATTTTGCCTTGTACTCTACGGTTCTCTTTTCAATCTCTGCTAGTTTGCGCCTTGCATCCGTGATTTTCACCTTCTTTGACACAACTCCGTCTGAATTTTGTGGGCTCGATCTCTCTTTATTTCTACCTTCCCTCCTGGGTCCCTTGTTTGCTTCCCCCGGCTTCTCCCGAGCTTTCTCCTGAGGAAATCTCTTTCCTGTTCCCCTTGGTTCCGTCCGCATTTGTCAATTCTCTGTCCTTCTGACACTCTTCGCTTTGTACGGCGCTGCCTCCTATGCCCGGTCCTCCCTCGCTTCTATGATTGTCTGTCTCATCTTTCGTTGCCATCTTGCCTAGATCTGCACAAACCAGAGGATTTCCCGGGACACAGGTAGCTCGGGACTTTTAGATTCCGTAGGCCTTGGTCCTTCGGTTTATCTTATTCAAAAAAGTAGTCCCCCCCTCGATTTTTGTCCTCTGATTGTTTTCCCGAAAAGAGTCTGTAATCAACCAACTTCTCTTTCGACAAGCTCGCCTAGAGTGTTCCAGTTTGCAGCGCCGGGCACACAAGAGTTCTGGTTGGGCACTCCGTCAGGGAGGGTCCCCATTCAACATTTCTTTTACTGTTTTTTTGAGGTGTTCTCAACCTTTCTGGTTATGGCAATTATCGTGGATCTATCCCCTCATGGGTTTATACACAATGCGAGTTTGACTACTATTACTTCCTGATCTGCGTAGGCGCACCAGTAGTGGGGGTCTTTCTTAGGGTTCGAGCCTACGTTCGGGTATTCAGAAATGCCCATACTTCGCCGCACGTGGTTAGATAAGGTTCGCATCTGCTATAGTCGACCTGCCTTGGCCGAGCGTGGCCTCTCCCTACTTCCCAGACTTCATGCTTTTGTCGTCCCTTCCCCGTTTTGCAACGGCGTGTTTTGACTGTCTGGGTCTAACGGTCCTTTCCCATTTCCATCGGTGAGCCTCTATATGTAATGAGTATACTTTATTCACCATACTAACTCGCTCCCTGGCGTTAGTCTTGCTCTCGTCCCCGTGGCCCTTCTGGTTCAGTAGGCTCCTCGAACAACTGAGCCACCCATGCTAGATAGCTCTGTCTCAATTTCTCTCCGAATTATGTGCTCGTATTTTGCAGAGGCTAACCTTTGCAACCCGAAATCAGAATATTGATAACCTCCAGTAGATCCTGGGCCGGGTTCCCCAAGAACATTCCGTGCTCCACGAAGATGCCATAAAACATCCCGATGGCTTGAGCTGGGAAGTGATCTATCCAGATTATTACCGAGTCTGCCAGATCATGCGCCTTAGGGAGGCTCCAAAAGATGAGGTCTATCATGAATCGGGGGACCTGACATCTTAGCGGGGTTGTCGGTGCCCTAAACTCCCACCAGCTCCGCACTTCCACCCTGGTCCGTAAGCCCACGTTCCTCCTACCCCTGATCGATTGACCTATTTGTGTCAACACCCGGGCGGCCCTCTGGGAGACCGGCGCTAGGCCGTGGCCTTGTCTTATTCCTACCCCCAGCGAGTGCCATCCAATTTCGGATAGGTACAAAGTCCCAGTTACTTCCAAATTGCAGTATAGGTCATTGCTTAGGTCATTGCTTCCTCGAAAGTCACGTCAGCAAGGGCCGCTACTGCCTGCCTGACGCGCGCCTCGCCACCCATCCTTTGCAGTATAAAGGGCGGCAGCCTCATTTGTACGCACTAGGTAGTAGGTAGAGTAAAGGTCTCCGCCATGACCACTCTTAGATCCGTTGTTACTTTGTCATGCTCAGGGTCGACAAACTCCAACCCTATCCGCCATACCAGCTACCATGCGTCCTCGAACATGCTCAGAGGGTCTTCCCTTGATGCTAACATGACCCCGAAGGTGCGTCACCCATCCTTTGATAGGTACATCCGCCCCTTCGCACGTACGTGTCCTTGCGGATCCGGATTCCAATCGCCCTGCTCCCCTTCCACATGCCATTCGACTTCGGTTACCTGGTACACCATATTTTCCGAAACTTCGATTCCGACCCAATCCACTATAGGATTCCGGACTTTGTTTCGGGTGGGCATGCTGATTTCTATGCCGCCGTCCCATTCTCTCGGCGGCTCTATCCCCACTGACCGATCTTCAAGGAACATCCTTCTTCGGGCCATTTCGTACTGCCCTTCTTGTCTCGCTTCCTTACCTGCAATCAGAAACTGTGCCCACAACCGGACGCCCCTCCCTGTTTTAATATTCCCGCATGCCCTGTTATACTAATGTACATGCTCCCTACCCTTCATTACCCTCCCAATTTACATGCATCCCCCACCCTTTGATTTCCTCATGGCTTCCGACCTTCCGGTTTTTTAGTTGAACCACATTACTTCAAATAGTTTAAAAACATCACCACGTAGGACGGAGCGGCCGCCGCCTCCCGGCTAAGTATGGCGTCCCAGTCCTCCGCGTCTACCTCTAGACGATCATACTTACCTATTCTCAAAATGATGAGAACCTCCCAGGCTCTATCGCCATAGAGGGCCCGTACTTCAACGAGGTCTTATAAAATTCTTCAGTCAACCATGCACACTTTATATGTGTCTATTCCATGGAATCAGCCACGTTTGAAATGTGGTAAAAACCCCCAAACCAATCGGCCACGAACTCTGGCACCCAGGCAGTTGTTCGCAGGCTACGAGGCTTGAGTTTCTTCCATCCTCCCATCACGACCCTACTACTGACTTCAACCCACCCTTTGTTAGCGAACCTCTCGCCTTCCTTTCGGGTCCTTGCCTCTGCATATCCTAGAAGCCACATCGGATCATATCCTGCCACTAGCGTAGTGCAAAATAAATGTCACCGCTTCTCGGAAAGAACGATCGTTCCGACTGATTCCACTTTGTGTTCCGGTATCTCGTCCCATCCTTCCTCTTTCCTTATTGGGTTTTAGATCCGTTATATCCAGACATACGATCATTCCGAGGCAACTTCAAATCCAACCCAGTCGCACGTGGTTCCTCTCAGTTCGTTTTCCGCTGGTATAGGCATTTCTACCCCCCCTCTGACTCACCTTGGCTCCCATCCTCTCAAAGTACAGTCCATCAGCAACTGCTCGCTAACCATCATTTCTTTCTTGCACAACGTCGGCCACTCATCTGCCCTAAATAAGTTTCCTTCCTCAGAAATCTAAGTCTTTTATCTCATCCCCCTCACCATTGTCACTGATGTCCTCCTCTTCGTCGTAGAACAATTCTCTCACCCCTTCTA